AGCTGTGGGGAAAGAACTGGCTGATCACATTCAATGCAAGTGAACCCAGAAATAATGAAATACAGTGTGTGGCAGAAATACCTCCCACATTTTAAACAGTCACCTGTGTGTTACTAGTGAACTTAGGCATGTGACAATGGTATCTTCATCTCACTAATGTCTTACCTTTTTTTTTCAAATACCATTAGTTACCTTCATGGCCTAGACTGATGCACACAGTGTTTGCTGTTGAAACATTTTTAAAACTATTGAATCTGTAATTGCAACATAGAGAGTTTTTCATGCTCATTTCATGTTACATTGGAATGATACTGCTCCGGATGGAAAATCAATACTGCTATGGTTTGAAAATGTCATGGTCACAGGTTCAGCATTTAAAAGAAAGCCACCTAGAAGACCACAAACTCCAGAAAATGTCTAGGCTGTGATACAGTCTGTTGTGCAATCTCCTACATGTTCAGCCCATATACATGCTTCTGCTTTGGGATTGTCTGATCAAACAGAAGAATTTTACACACCAATCTGAAATTTCATCCATACAAATTAATGGTTGTTCAAGAACTGCAAGAATATAACTGGGAAAATTGCATGGCATGCGACAATATCCTACAAAATGTTCCTGCAAATGCTGTTCTCACAAGTAATGAAACTTACTTTCAACTCTGTGTCAATAGGTAGAATTTTTGCTACTGGGTGGAAAATAATCCCAGACAGCTTCATGAAAGATCTCTACACAGCGAACGAGTAATTGCATGATGCACAGTTGCAAAATATTGTGTATGGGGGCCCTTACTTTTTTGATGAGAGAAACCACTCAGTTAAAGTAACATCTGACCAATATGTGGAGATGCTGCAGACCTTTCTGGAATCAAAACTCAGAGTCCTTGGGAGTGTGGATGTATGATTTCAACAGGAAGGAGCCACCACACACACAGTAAGAAGATCAACAGAAGCTTTGAGATAGAAGTTTCCAGGACATTTGATTTCTTTACACAGTGACATTGGATGGCCAGCATGCTCACCCTCACAATTATTTTCACTGGAGTTACTTGAAAGCTGAGGTCTACAAAAATCTACCAGCAACCATTGAAGAATTAAAGGATGCTATTTACCAAAAAGTGGCAGAAATATTTCATTTTTTCTCTCTTAAGTTTATCTGAAAGTTTGAAAACAGTTCAGGATTCAAAAGCAAAAATAGATACCTTCACATTTATTAAGAGTGCAGCAGAAATACCTCCCACATATTAAAGTTTGACAAAAAGGCTAAGGTAACTGCTGTTAAAAAAATTTATATTCATTTTATGAGATAAAACTTCACAAAATAAATAAATACATGTGTGTTTTGGCTTGCATCAAACTTGCAATTGTAGAAAATACTACTTGATGAATTAAAAAGAAAAAACACTACTCATCTACATGAACATCTACAACATCTTTACACAGTCCGAATATTTTGGCATTTTAAAAAATCTTAATGTTAATTAAAAGATTAGTCTACTGCCATGGACTTCCTAAAAAAAATTAAAAACGCATTTTAAATAATTTAAAAATGCCTTGTTGGACTTAAATTTCAGTTTTATTTGAAAGATAATGAGCTAAATCAGAATTAGGAAAAATATTTTCTGTATAAATAGAATTTTAGGCATTTTTGCATGTTCACTTGTCACTCATCAAACCGCCATTATAGGCAAAAAAAAAAAAAAAAAATGTAAACAACAAATTTTAAAATCCCTTAAATCTAATATTTATCCTAGAGATAGGTCTTGAAGTCATTTACTTATTTTAAAGATTAATTAACTTTGTAAAAGTAATGTTTACTTTTTGCTTAAAACATAACGAAAATATGTTTACAGCCTATGTCAAAAATAGTAAATGTACAAAAATCCCACCGTGCGCCAAAAAATTGAAGAAATATAGAAGACAAGCAGTGCAATAATCAAGACAATGGTATTTATGTTTAAAAATAAATTATCTAACTTTATTATATAACCAACAGTTTAAAATATAATTGGTAAATTTTCATTTTAACACCCGAGCGCTAATATCCCTTCAAATTTTTCCCAAATAGTCTTATTTCCGTGCAAATTAAAGAAACCTACCTTTTTGGATGTTATTGTTAACGACGCGAAAAAAATTGGACTTTTTCCTGGTCTTTCGTCAGCCATTGGTTATTCTTTTATTTTTATTTTTTTTTAAGTTAACTTTCAAATTAGGGATAGGTGTTTTTTGTTTTTTTTTTGGTTATTCTTTTATTTTTTTTTATTTTTTTAAGATAAAAGTTAACTTTCTAATTTTAGGTCGGTTTTTTTTTGTTATTCTTTCATTTTTTAGATTTTTTTTTAAAGAAGAAAGTTAACTTTCAAATTAGGGCTAGGTGTTTTTTTTTTCTTTTGTTATTCTTTTATTTGTCGATGTTTACATATATTTGAAAGTTAACTCTATTCTTAAATTATAAACCAAAAAAATTCGCTTTACGGAAGCGCGTACTAATTTCTGAAAGAAAATAGTTCAGCAGTAAATGACGCTCGGGTGGTAAAATGAAAATTTACCAAAACTACTACTAAAAAACTAAAGTAGTTTTGTTTTTAGTAATTGATACTTTTTTGAGTTTACATTGCTTTTTTTCTTTTGTTGTTGTTTGTACCTGTTTGATGTCATAAAATCTCTAATTGCACCAAATGTGTTTTTCTTTTTTAATTATTATGAATTTAAGAGTAATTGAAACATTTTTTTAATTATTATGAATTTAAGAGTAATTGAATTACTTCCAATAGGGAAACATAGTCAAAGGCGGTAATTCAGAATTATTTCCCTTTTTAACATCCATACCAAAGATAATCTAACAGTCGCTAAAAAAAAAAAAAAAATCAAAATTCTTTTAAAAATGATTAACACTGGAAAATGGCATTAAACTTCATTTTCTCAAAATGTCTTTAAAAAATAAATTTTCTTATGAACTGCAACGGGATGAATTATTTAAAAAACACATTGAAAAATAAGTTTTTAAAAAATAAATAAGAATAAAAAGAAAGTGTATTTTTCTGTCCCATCTGAAAGAAAATAACAATGTGTTCTTTTTAATTAAATCAATTATCAGAAAAAATATATTTAGTTTTATTGAATTATTTTTTTTACTGATTCGCGACGAATTTTCTGTATGTTTAAGAAGTTCACACTTGCACTTCTTGCTTGATATTGAATAACTTTTTTCTTTTTTTTTTTTTTACTGAAATAAACATCTTTCTTCAGCGATATCATCATTTTATTTATTTTTAAATTTGAACACTTTTAAAAAGTACACACGAGATAGCCAAAAAAAATGGGGAGGTGGGTGAAACGGTAACAGAACAAAATCCCAAGAGACAAAAAACAAGCTGACATTAAAATTTGAAATAAAAGTTCCTCGTAGTTTCAATGTTAAATTTGTTTGTTTTTTCGTTGTTGTTTTTTTTTTTTTTTTTTGTTTTACTTTTGGAGATTGGGATTTTGTCCACTTTTGGTGGGTGGGGAATAAAGAAACTGGGCTTTTGTCATGGATCGGGTAGAAAGAGACAACACACAAAAAATATTTCCAAAGTTTTGGTTTAGAAGTACATATCTACAATTCATTCATTAATGAATGTGTAAGTACTGAAAATACCCGTTTGAATCTTATAATTTGATCTTTGGCAAATATTTTTAATAAAGGGTAGCAAATTTTTGCTTTATTTCGGAAAAAGACTAGTGGTACCAATAAGTTTTTCAATCGCCCGTTTCTTTTTTATGCTAGCCTTTTTTTTGTTTGTTTTATCAAATTAATTTTTCAACTATTAATCTTGAAGGCTTGTGTTTTGCTCAAAAGTTTAACGATCATAGTACATAATTTACAGTGTTACACGAATTTTTGTTCTCTCGTTATGTTTTCTTTTTTCATGAACTACTGAATCAACTGCTTTTAATGAATGAGGCAAGAACACTAGTTAGAGATTTATTAATTCAATAAGAGTTGCTTAAGTCTCTAAAAACAAAGCTCGTATAATTTTTAAACAAACCTAAGAATTAAAAAAAATAAAAGCTTAATGTTGTAACTCGATGACGTTTATGACGTCAAAAATTGCTAAGCAATTATGACGTGTATCGTTGCCCGGCAACAAGAATTTAAGAATGTGACCAACTGGTAAGTGTCACAACATATCAAGGAATTGATCATAAAATTAACTTCTTGCTTAATATTTCTTAGTTTAAAATTCTGTTGGGAGAAGAATGTTGGCACAATAATCGTGAGGTTTTACGGCTAAATAACATTTGATAAAACAATGAAAATTTATTATTATTCACTTAAAAAAGGATTTTTCTTTTTTTAAAATTGTGTTTGTTATTTGTGCTGATTCAACAACAGTAACACTTTATTGAATAACAAACTCGATTAAAAAAAAGACAAAAAACACTAACATTCTTGTCTTTATTTCTGTTTAGCTTACAGGTTTTTAGTAGTGTCTAATTTTTGAGTTACACGGTCTCTGGAAACATGAAGATTACAGCGGTTGAGTAATAATTATTTTAATCTCTCAAAAATTGGTATTTTAATTAATACAAACACATGTAGGCAAAGTGTACATACACAGAAAAACAGTTTAAATACATAACATTAACAATAACATGAAAACAAATTTTAAAATTATTCCATTCTGACCATAAACAAACTTTAAAAATGCATGGAGTGTAAGATTTTTGGGAGGGAGGCTAAATGTTGTTAAATTTAAATTACCAAATAAAAAAGCAAATGAAAAATAATATAAAATAATGAAAGAAGAATGATTAACGTGCTTAGCTTAAATCTCTTAAAGTTTTTTTTAAATAAATCGTTTTTTCTATTTTTTGTGCAGTGTGTGTAACATAGGAAGGACAAAATCAGCCATAGTAATTTTATTCCCACACAACTTACAATGAAGTTCAATAAAATAAAAATTGATATACTTTAAAATATAACAGTGAGTACAACGGAAGAAAATTAAACTAACCAATAAAATAAAACTGATGTTTTGCGTAGAGCTTCCAAACATTTGATCACAACATATTGGTGGCTGACATCTTGTTTTATATGTCTACAGAGGAAATAACTTGACCTGTATGTCACAATGTCCTCAGCTGAACCATTTCTAACTTTATTTATAAATCCAATAATGCTATATCAGCACGACAAAAATAGAAATAAACAATGAAAAAGCTTTTGATATCGCTTTTATGGATGTGATAATGTTACAATTAAAGATTTATTTTATCGGCCAACACATGGTCTTACTTAACTTGTGACACTCTTCTTCTTCTTCTTACCCTAATCTTCTTCTTCTTCTTCATTTACGGTTGTCACTTTTCTAAATTTAGAAATTTTTGTTTATTTGTTTTAAGTTAAATATTTGATTTAAAGCTACAGGAAATTTAAGCGTGTCCACAAAACAAAAACAAAAAAAAACGTGATAATTTGTTAAACTCTTTTTATTTGTTCACGAATAAGGCAAGGCGCTTTACCATGGCATACTAACCGACACACTCGTTTCGTTATGAAATCGATGTTTTTTAGTTTGTTTTTTTTTTCACTACTTTCTATATCATGATTTTTTTCCTTTTAATAAAGTGGCCAAGCATGTAACAAAGATGGTTGCAAATATATGCCCAATCTTCACTTTCCAGTTTCAATAGAGTCCTAAAAAAACGTCTTTTTGTGGGTGACAAATTATTTCCCAACCTCTGCAATCTTTTTCTCACAGACGAAACATCGCAAGTCTTTCGCTGCTCTATTGCTATTCCATGGAAAGTGTTCAGATGAAATTGAAATACATTATTAGTTCTAATCTTTACGGCTAAGACACACCATGCCAGAAATTTTGTAGTGAACCACCCTCATTCCCTTTGTATTCAATTGGTGAGATACAAGTTCCATTCAAGCATCTTCCTATGAATCACTGCTTTGTGAAACCTACTCCCAAGCGGATGCTTCCTCAACCACTACAATTTTAACTTGTTCAAGTCTAGGGTCAACCATTATCTTCCCCACATATCCCCATAAACTGTGCCTCTCCTCGAGTGGCTCTTACGCCTTCTACTGGATGAATATCATTGTAAAAAAAATCATACTTGAACCATATTAGTTCTGTTTTTCAGATGTTTGTTTTCATTTCAATTTGTACCTCTGGGCATTTTAGGAATAAAACTGAGAAGCTAATCCAAAAATCATACAAAAATAGTTTTTTTCTATGTTAACTTTTAAATTGAAAATATTTAAAGCAAAATACAATATTTTATACATTCACTTTACTTTTATATAAATTGTATAATTATTTATCATCATTTGACAATTATAGAGCAACAAACTTTTATCTCATCCTGAAATCAAACATTGAGATACATCTAAGAAATATCTAAAATTATAAATATTAAAAACTTTTCCTTCTGGTCAAAATTTTTTATGCCTTCTGGTCTTCTGTACTTTGTGAAATTTTGTTACTTTCTCATCAAAATTTTCAGCCTTCTGATTTCTATCAAACTTTACACCTGAAATTTCAAGCTATCTTGTCTTCATATATAGCCTTTAAATAAGCTCCAAACGAATCACAACTTTTAAATTAACATGATTGTAAGTCACCTTCCTAACTGGTCAATAAATCCAATGGTGTATATATTTTTTGAATTTGAAAGTTAAATCACAAACCATTCACCTTGACCGAATTATTTTCAGCAGGTTCTTTACAAACCATTCTATTTTTAGAAAATTTAACAAGTAAATGTTTCACATCAAATTTATTTTTTATTAACCGTTTAGTTTTTATTTAATTTTTTTAAAAACACTTCTCTCAAAACAAGTATAAAAGACAAATCTGGACTATTATAATATTTATTTATTTTTTATCTACACTTTATCTACACTAGTTATGAAGTCCTCACTTTCACCTGCAATTTTCAATATCTACATTGAGATTATTTTAAATCTTGATCTAGATTATACTCCCTTGAAGCTGTCAATCTGGTTTAGGTTTAGGGATGACATATTTTTCTTCTTGCCTTACCAAGTGACAAGCACTCCCTAGTGGACCATGCAAACTCAGGTCATCAATAGAGTTGATAATGGCAAAAGGGAAGTAACTTGTTTTCTTTTTTTAAGACATCCTCTAGTAACATACAGAGGAATGTGTGGGTGGTGTAATGAATATCGATTCGGAATGAGAAATCAGAGATCTGAGTTTGACTTCCAGTTGGGTTCATTATATTCACTTACATTGCAAATACTCTTGGAAAAGATGAATCCATCTCTTCTCCCCCAAGCTATGGGTTAAATAGCAAGACAGACTGGGTTCTATAGCCTTGGATCCCAGTCAATTCACCACAGAAAGAAATGGTAACCTACTGTGGGAAAATCTTAAACCTAGTCAGTCATGAACCAGAAGAGACATGATTGCCCAAGTGTGTATCACATATGGCATTTATCTGACTGAGTAATGTACAAAATGCAGGCAGAGCACTAGTGTGTACCAAAGCAAAACTACAATTTTGTCTGAATTTTTGTGAATGAGAAATGACTATACATTGCTTTACTCAGACCAGTGTTTTCATCTTGGTTGTTATAATCATAGTGTTTCAGCTATTGTACTCTGTAGCTTTTTTTCAGGGATCAGTTGTATTTAATTAATGTGGTCACATTAATTTCTGGCACAAAGCCAAGGGGGAGTGGGGGAAAGACTGGTCAACTCTGTCTATCCTACACCTAGCTAATCTGACTCCCAACCCATTCATTCAATCACCACAAGAATCCATCCTTCAGTTATCAGTTGTAGTTGGTAACTTTCTTGAAAGTTCATATTTAACACTTTATTCAATCCATAGGAATAGGCTGTTTTTTATCCCACTGTCCATGCTAAGTTAATCTTTTCTCGTGATGTTATTTCTCTGTTGTTACTGAATCGGAGTTTTTAAATGCAATTCTTTACATCTTCCTTAATAGAACTGGCCTCTTATTGGGGAAGTTTGACAAAAATTACATTTATGCAAATATGGAAGAAATCCCAATATATAATTTACAATCACTTGAGTTGGTAGCAGTGAATGCTTCCTTCTGTCTGTATATTGAGAACAAAATATTATTTTGTGCATTTTCCTATAATTTATGCATTGTTTAAAAATACTTTTATTCTTAAAAAAAAGCTAGCAATGCTTTTGAAAGTTAGAAAATTTAAATGATTTAAAAATGTTGGATGGTAGTGAAATCATTGTGTCCAACCAAGGCAAATGTGCAGAGAAAGTAAATTAAGATCCGTTTATCAATTGAATAAAAAAATCTCAATCAAATAAAATTTGACAGCCAAAAACCTTGAACTGATTTGACGCCTGCATGAGTATAAAACCGTATTCAATTGATGCATACAAAAAAGAGAAGAAAGGAACATGAGAGGGGGGGTGGAGAGAGAACGGCTGAGGCCATTTTATAAAACTATTAATACTACTATTTCATATTTAAAAAAATATCTATTGTGTTAAAGTAGTTTTTTTTTTTCAGATTTTTAAAAAGATTTGAATATAAAAATATAGAAATATTGATTTTAATCCTGAAGCTAAGCTTCTTAAGAAAAAATAAATTTGGACAAAATATGGAAGTTTGCAATATTTTATCAGTTAAAATTAAATGAAAATGGAAGTAATTTTTGTAAAAATAAAAAAAAAAAAATCAGTTCTGTAAGATTTGTAAGTAAAAGTCAAAGTAAGATTTGGGTCAGTTTTAAATGCCTCAAAAACAAAACTGCTCTCTATTACTCACCACAGAAAACCATCCCTGCCTCCCATTAGAATGTCTAACACTCAACTCCATGAGAGAACCTTTTTGCGACTACTCATTCTCACATTGTCTGCTGACCTGAGATGGAACAAATACATTGAGTCAATAGTTTCATCCATTGCAAGGAAAGTTGGCTCCCTGTGCTGTGCCAGGAAATTTTTCTTGCCAGAGTCAATCCTTCAAATCTACAAATCAACCATTCACCCTTGCATGGAGTATTGCTGCCATATATGGTCTGGAGGCCCTTCTGTTTGTCTCAAGGTTCTTGATAAAATCCAGAGACGTATATGCAATGTGATTGGCCCTGATTTGGCATCTTGTCTGCATTCGCTCTCTCACAGACGTGCAGTTGCCTCCTTCTGTCTTTTTTACAAATACTTTCATGGTAACTGCTCCGATGAGCTGCTTTCACTGGTTCCCAGACTTCATGAATTTAAGCATTCAACTAGGCTGGCATCTCGCTGTCACCCTTTCACTGTCAAAACTGTTAAATGTGGCAATAGCTTTATGTCTCACACTTCTCACCTGTGGAACTCCCTCCCCTCTTCCTGTTTCCCTGATAGCTATAATTTCCAACTATTCAAATGTAATGTCAATTGACATCTCTAGATGCCTTGATCTATCCCCTATCCTTCTCTTCATCCTTTCCTCTATCACTGCTATTTGGTCTCACTCCAACTCTCTGTAACCCCTTGCGTGCTAATGGCTTCCCACCTTGCTTGGGGTGAAATGCTTTAAAAAAAAATTTTTTTTTAATGGGATAAATATTGAGAGAATATGTGGATGGGCTAAGGGCCAATAATTCTGAAATGAGAAATCACCTGACAATGATTACAGTTCTTTTGATTTGTGGGTATTAAACTGGATCCTTTATATATTTTGCTTCATGCCAAAAGGCTGGCAGTCCAATGGAAAATTTTTATAGCTATTCTGACTATTAATACAACTCTCAAAAGTTTCTACTTGTCTTGTTAGCTATCAATTCGGCTCCCTAGTTTTAAAAAGCTTTTATGACTTCCTTTTAAACAACCTGTCAAAGCTTTAAATCTCACAGCAAGGTCTGTTTTGCCATTTTTCCCTGTTGCTTCCAACTAGAAAGGGCAACATTTCTGAATAATTTCAGTGTTTTCATATAACCTACATCCAAGGCCCTCATTTTCAGTTAAGGTCCATATGTTCAGGTGTATAAAGCTATCCATTCAGCTACACCCACTCATAAGTATTTCTTCCTGCCAATTTAAAGAGCCTTTATTAAGGTTAAATCTTTTCTGCCAATTTAAACAATTTTTTTAAAAATGTTTAACTATTTTCTACACTCTTTCCTTGTACAATTTAAAGAGCCTTTCCCAAAAGTTAAGAAATCTTCCAACTTTTAGATTTTCTAGATTTTAGGTTCTATGTTTGAAAGAAGAAAGAAAAGTAAACAGTTTTTTGAAGAAAAAATTCCAGTCAGAACCATTTTATTTATTACCTTATTTCTCAACTTCTTGGAGCTGAGGCATTTTGCTAATTGCATACTATATTGTTCAAAAATTGTAAAAACCTTTGTTCATATAACAAACTGTAAGTAATTTTCTCTATTACTAGCCAAGAATATTTTGTATGCTTTGATATCTGCTGATTTTATACAAATGTTCTTTCCTTTCATCCATGAACAAAGTACTAAATTTGTGCAAGCATTTTTCTAAAAATTAACTTTTCTTATTTCTTTCTTAAATAAAATTTCTTGCATTTTCAAATTTTTGTGTCCTAAATGTTTAAATTTTTGGCTCCCAAGGACTTGTATGTATTTTAGGATAAAGCTTTTCATCACATATTTCTTGCTGCTATGCGGAGGAATTTATTTTTTGGAATAAATTATTTAATGTAAAAACAAAATATTTGAAAAACATAGAGAAGAGGAAAAATACTGAAAATGAAAGAGAAGTAGAACAAATAAATGTTAAGAGAAGGAAAAAAAATTTAAGAAAAACAAAAATGAAAGATTAAAAAAAGAGATAAAACGAAAATAGATCACATTTCTAAGCCTGTGCATTGGATGTGTGCATGTGTGTAAGACTGAAGCCATAGATGTAAAGTAAAGGCTATCTTTTCACTAAATTTTGTGTCTATATTGGCAAATACAAAAAACTGGAAACAAATTGATTAAGAGAAAATACAATGACCAGACAAAGATACTTCAATGAAAAGTGAAAAATGATTTTCAAGTCATATAAAATACTTTGGGTAAAATTTAAAAAGTGTATGTAAAATTTTGCAGTGTCCTCTTTTGAAAACTAGAGACGGGTATTCTGCATCTAGTTTTCAGAAAAATGATAGCAGACAAAATACATGTGTGACATTGTATGTTCTTTTAAAAGTTGAGTAAGACATCAGGTGAGACAGTTTGGTAACTGAAGAAGATGATTGACAGAGCCTTTAGAAATGATTCATTTGGGAACATGATATGTCATAAATGTTTTGTAAAATTCAAGAAAGGTGAATTCAGAAGACATATCATACTGTAGTAGACCATATCATACTCCATAAACCATTTGTTGGGTTTTTTGCTGTTTGAATATATGTATATAGAGTATGCAATATATACTCCCACACACACCCTCATGTACCCGCGCACATGCATGCACATATATGTATTTTTAAATAGTGTATAGTATATATAGTAAATTTGCTGGGCAGGTGGCTGAGTGGTTAGAACGTTCGCATTCTGACTATGAGACCCAGGTTCAGATCTCACCATGGTCGATTTATCTGGAAGAAGATTTTCTGATGTTATCAAACTGGAGAGCTCAATCACAGCATGTGACACGTTTGGAAAGTGCCTGAAAACCATACCACGGCCTGACCCAAGCCTTCTGAGTGAAATTGGGTAGACAGAAACACTTCCTCACGTGTTGATTTGTTGATTGTAAAAACCATAATGTAGTTGAGATGAAAATTTCTTCCTCACAAAACAAATTCATCCAACTTAATATCATCAAAGTATCATTTGTTTTGATCAATGTATCATTTCTTATCTGGCCAAAAATTTAAAGATCTCTTTCAAGTTCAAAATTTCATTATTAACTCTATAGTTAATCGTTTTATCAAAATAGAATCCAAAACCTTCCAGAATGTTGCCATAAGATCATAAAAAATCAAGGAAAATAATTTGCCTGTATATTTGCCTAATCATGATTTTTTTAAGATGTAGTGCAAAACAAAAGTATGGGGTACCCAGTGCCAATCAAACTCACTACTCAGTCATAATTGTTCTAGTTAGACAAGCTTCCTAACCATTACACCATACCAAGGTGCTGTTGCTTGCACCTAAAAGAAGGCAACTTAAATTTAAAAAAATGTTAAATTTTCTTTTGCATTCCTTTTTTTGTAATTAGCCTCTTTATATGTTTTTCGTAATTCTCTTTAAAACACTTAAACCCACTTGGTGTTAAAATTATATAAGAATTGAGTTTGAACAGATTTACATTTCATTCGAAATATTTTGAGTTTTCACTTCCACTTTATAAATTGTTCATACATATGCTAATAAAATCAACTAAACTTACAGAAAACAAATAACAATATATTGTCTTTTAACAAAAAAATGAATTGTTAGTGAAGGTTCTTTTTAACTCATTTCTTTGATCTTATTAACATTGGAAAAATTCTCATTCAATACCCTTCACTTTTGACCTTGTAAACTAAGCTTAGTAAATTTCAGTAATACTAATTAGCATGAAATATTGTAACTTCTCCTCCTACTACTACAAATTATATCTGATATGAATACAACTCTGTTAAATGCTTAATACCTATTCAGAAAACAAACATCCAAGCCTTGTTTTTAGTTTTATTTGACACTATAAATTGCCAAATATTTACTTTTTTTTTCACTAATTGTTATTTTCTTTTCCCTCATTTCTTGTACAAACCACAGATATCTGCTCTAGTGTCCAATAATCTAATCTTTGGATATTAACTGGTTGAATACATGACAAATAAAAGTGACAATGAATCAATATAATTTTCATTGATATTTTTGTTGATAGTGAAATAAACATTGCAAAATGAGAATTTACAAAAGCTTACTGAACAAAATAATAAATATTTATCTTTTCCAGCACATCAATACTAATAAAGCATCAAGTAATTTCTCAAGCATGATGCAAACAAGAATCTCCTTTTGTTAAAAAGATTGCAAATAAGGACATATTTTTTTCACCTTGTGAGCATGAAAAAGCAGAATAACTATAACAATGAAATGAATTTCATTTCAAAATGAACAAAATTTGCATTTTCCATTTGCTTATAGCCACATCCCACTGAGTACACAACTCTTATGAATTGACTTATTAATAAGCTTTATAATTACTTGTGTGAATTGGATATAGGTGAACAATCTAAACTTGCATCCTTTATGACTTACTTCAAGCTAGTTGAAAAGAATATTAAAACATAAAACACATGTTGCCACCCCCGCACCCATCTATAAAAAGGAATCAGTTCTAAAATCAACACCATGGTTAGTCACCGTTTGGTGGCAAAATTGGGAAATTCACAGTTTTATCTTTAATTTTTACAGTGTTTTCTTTATTACTCAAATTGGTTCAGTTTTTGAATGTGTGTGTGTGTGTGCATTTCTAGACAAGTTTAGTGAACAAAGCAAATAAAATGAGAAAAGAAGAACAACAAACAAGAAGTACAAGTCTTGAACAATGCCAACCAGAAAAAAGAAATCTAGAAGAGATAAAAAAAAAATAAATGCCCTCCCAACCAGAAATGCTACTGAAATAGAATGGGTTTGACGAGAAGTGAAATAAAATAAAAGATTGTATGCTAACTTGGTACTTATTCATTTATTGCTGTTTTTCAGTGAAAGAGACAGAGAAAGAGACATTTTTAAGAGAACCTTCTTTTACAGGAACCAGAAAAGAGAATAACGCCAAGGGCTGAGAGGCGAATGGGGAAAGTGGGAAATAATGCTATGGTCTGAGAGGCGAATGGGGAAAGTGGGAAATAATGCTAAGTTCTGAGAAGCGAATGGGGAAAGTGGAAAATAATGCTAAGGTTTGAGAGGCAAATGTGGAAAGGAGGAATAATGCCAATGGCTGAGAGGCAAATGGAGAAAGGGGGAATAATGTCAAGGGCTTAAGAGGCAAATGGAGAAAGGGGGAATAATGCAAAGGGCTGAGAGGCGAATGGGGAAAGAGGGAATAATGCAAAGGGTTGAGGGGCAAATGGAGAAAGGGGGAATAATGTTAAGGTCTGAGAGGCGAATGGGAAAGTGGGAATAATGTCAAGGGCTGAGAGGCGAAAAGAGGAATAACACCAAGGGCTGAGAGGCAAATGGAGAAAGGGGGAATAATGTCAAGGGCTGAGAGGCGAAAAGAGGAATAACACCAAGGGCTGAGAGGCAAATCGAGAAAGGGGGAATAATGCTAAGGTCTAAGAGGCGAATGGGAAAGTGGGAATAATGGCAAGGGCTAACAGGCGAATGGGGAAAGGAGGAATAATGCAAATGGCTGAGAGGCAAATGGAGAAAGGGAATAATGTCAATGGCTAAGAGGCGAAAAGAGGAATAACGCCAAGGGCTGAGAGGTGAAAAGGGGAATAATGTCAAAGACTGAGAGGCGAAAAGAGGAATAGCACCAATGGCTGAGTGGCAAATGGGGAATGGAGGAATAATGTCAAGGGCGGAGAGGTGAAAAGAGGAGTAATGCCAAGGGCTAAGAAGTGAAAAAGGGAATAATGCCAAGGGCTGAGTGGTAAATGGGGAATGGAGGAATAATGCAAAGCGCTGAGAGGCAATTTGAGAAAGTGGGAATAATGCTAAGGTCTGAGAGGCAAATGGGGATAGTGGGAATAAAGCCATGGGCTGAGAGGCAAAAGAGGAAATAATGCTAAGGTCAGGGAATTGAATGGGGAAAGTGGGAATAATGCCAATGGCCGAGAGGTGAATGGGAAAAGGGGAATAATGCCAAGGGCTGAGAGGCGAATGGGGAAAATGGGAATAATGCCAAGGGATGAGAGGCGAATGGGAAAAGGGAAATAACGCCAAGGGCTGAGAGGAGATTGGGAAAAGGGGGGATTAGCGCCAAGGGCTGAGAGGAGATTGGGAAAAGTGGGGAATAAAGCCAAGGGCTGAGAGGCGAAAAGGGGAATAACGCTAAGGGCTGAGAGGTGAATGGGGAAAGTGGGAATAATGCAAAGGGCCGAAAGGTGAATGGGGAAAGTGGGAATAACGCCAAGGGATGAGAGGAGATTGGGAAAAGGGGGAATTAACGCCAAGGGCTGAGAGGCGAATGGGAAAAGGAAGTATAATGCAAAGGGCTGAGAGACGAATGGGGAAGGGGGAATAAGGTCAATGGCTGAGAGGTGAAAAGAGGCATAACACCAAGGGCTGAGAGGTGAAAAGGGGAATAATGCCAAGGGCTGAGAGACGAATGGGGAAAGGAGGAATAATGCAATGGGCTGAGAGGCAATTTGAGAAAGTGGGAATAATGCTAAGGGATAGTGGGAATAACGGCAAGGGCTGAGAGGCGAAAGGGAAATAACGCCAAGGGCTGAGAGGTGAATGGGAAAAGGGGGAATAATGCCAAGGGCTGAGCGGCAAATGGGAAAGTGGGAATAAAACCAAGGGCTGAGAGGCAAAAGGAAATAATGCTAAGATCAGGGGAGTTGAATGGGAAAGTGGGAGTAATGCCAAGGGCCGAGAGGCGAATGGAAAAGGGGGAATAATGCCAAGGGCTGAGAGGCGAATGGGGAAAGTGGGAATAACACCAAGGGCTGCGAGGCAAAAGGGGAAATAATGCTAAGATCAGGGAGTTGAATGGGGAAAGTGGGAATAATCCCAAGGGCCGAGAGGCGAATGGGAAAGGAGGAATAATTCCAAGGCTGAGAGGCGAAAAGGGAATAACGCTAAGGGCCGAGAGGTGAATAGGAAAAGGGGGAATAATGTCAAGTGCTGAGAGGCAAAAAGGGGAATAACGCCAAGTGTTGAGAGGTGAATGGGGAAAGTAGGAATAACGCCAAGGGCGGAGAGGCAAAAGGGGAAAGAGGAAATAATGCTAAGGTCTGAGCGAGGAATGGGGAATAACGCCAAGTGCTGAGAGGTGAATGGGTAAAGTGGGAACAATTCCAAGGGCCGAGAGGTGAATGGGAAAAGGGGGAATAATGCCAAGGGTTGAAGGGCGAATGGGAAAAGGGGGAAAAATGCCAAGGGCTGAGAGATGAATGGGAAAAGCGGGAATAACGCCAAGAGCTGAGAGGCCAAAAGGGGGAATAATGCCAAGGGCCGAGAGGCGAATAGGAAAGTGGGAATAAAGCCAAGGGCTTGGAGGCAAAAGGAGAAAGGGGGAATAATGCCAAGGGCTGAGATGCAAATGTGGAAAGGAGGAATAACACCAAGGTCTGAGAGGCGAATGGGAAAATGGAAATAATGCCAAGGTCTGAGAGTCGAATGGGGAAAGTGGGAATAACACCAAGGGCTGAGAGGCAAATGGGGAAAGTGGGAATAACTCCAAGGGCCGAGAGGCAAATGGCAAAATGGGTATAACTCTAAGGGCTGAGAGGCGAATGGGGAAAGTGGGAATAAAGTCGATGACTGAGAAGCTAATTAAAAAAAGAGAATGTGTCAAAATTTGAGAGGCAAATAGAAAAGACCATAATATCAAAGGCTGAGAATTAAATGAAAATGATGGAATAATGTAAATTACTGAGGCATCTATATTAAAGAAAGAAAGGATGAGAGGCAAATAGAATAGTGAGAACAGTTAAATATATGAAAAACTCTTGTTACAGAAAAATAGAAGGATCCAAGTTATCAAGGAGAAATGTGAGAGCAAACATTGTAAAAAACATGTTGCATGGATAAATTTTGTATGTTAAATAGTGAAAAAGTCAAAAAACCTTTGCCTAATTCCATGGCAATTTTGTAGTTGCATGGGCTGATGTGAGGTACTATTTGACCTTCGTGAAAACATGTATACAAACTGAAATCCATGCAAGTTCTATATTTATTGGCAAAATAACTAACCTTGGATATATAAACAATTCTTCAAGTTATTATACATGCAGCATTCCCCTGGCTGTTGTTTCTAGTGAATTTTATCAGAATGTGGTTTGAAAAGATTTAGAAATGTTTATAGCATTATAAATTTCTTGCTCCCATTAAATGTAAATGTTTTGTGCAATTCATTATTATATCTTGTCTGCTAAATCATTTTTATATAAAAAATTAAACATATGAAAGAGATGTTGTTAACACTGCCTATTGTTGATGTTGATTAAATTTGGAAGAATGTATATATACCTCTTATCTTGTCTGTTCTGATTTATTTCAAATATATTCTTGAGTATTTTCAGAAATATACATATATATAAATATAATACTTATTAGTACTTTTAGCCATGAAAAAATGTCACATAATATTGTGACATATTTGCTTGATTATATTTATATTTAACTATATTATTTATTCTTATTATTGTCAAACTATTCTCTTATTGACCAAAAGAATAAGAAAACTTTAAATAAAAGTTGCTACTCTTGGACATAACATAATTATTTACTTTTTCTGTTCTTTTCACAAAATAGAAACTTGTAATTTTTTACTATATAATAAAATTATTTTCATTATCCAAGAAAAATTGTACTCTTTGAGAGTTAAAAGTAAACTTTCTTCTTCTTTTTAAATAAATGCAATAAAAAAACTCACAAAAAGAAAATTTAACCAAACTGAAAGGTTATCTAACAGGAACTGAAATTGACCTACAAAAAAAATTTAAAAAATGTTTGTCATCTGGGAATTTCAGTATTATCAGCATATAAGTTATACAATTTAACTAACACAAGTAGTAGAATTAATTAATGAAATTATACAAACTGAGTTACTACTCTGATCTTAGTTAAAATACAAAATTACATCTAGTTATATAAGAAGTTGAAAAATATAGATTAGCACAGGGAAATCATAAATATATTGCATATGTAAAAAGTATAAGTTTTCAAAATAATTGAATGCAAAATTGTCTTATGGTAAAGATACATAAATGCAAATAAATGACTTTCCTACATAATGCATCTCTTTAAAAAATTATATTTTTGTCACTATATGTATCTATGCTTTTGTATATGGATTCTATTTTCATTCATATTATAATCATATTTGTTGTTGAATAAAGTTGGAAAGTAAATAAATCTTAGTAATCAATATTTGTTTAACAAATAATAAATTAGAAAATGACAAAAATTACAGAAATTGTAAGTAATTGTCTTGTAACAAACCTTGTGTTTTACCCCCACAAAAAAAAAATTGGTAGACACATGTAATTCTGAAGAATAATGCTTTTAAGGTAAACAGCCATTGAAATTAAAATGGTCAATATTAACAAATAGATCATTAACTGCAACAAATAAAATTAAATATTCAACTTATCTTTCTGAATATATATATATATATATATATATATATATATATATATATATATTATGAAATGGACAAAGTCCAACAATTATTTTTAGACATTTTTATGTTTATACATTCCTTTTATACATACAAATATTTAAGTAAATGCTCTGTTTATAATACAGTATTAAAGAACATTTACCGGCCTGAATGTCCAAGAAATTTTCATAGAAAATATGCGTTCTCCAAATCGGTTAAAGGCATGTCAGGCTATATGATGGTTCCGTATAGGATACAGGTTCGATTCCTGTCGGAGGACGAATATTTTCTATGAAAATTTCTCAGACATTCAGGCCGGTAAATGTTGTTTAATACTGTTTATTATAAACAGAGTATTTACTTAAATATTTGTATCTATAAAAAGAATGTGTAAACATAAAAATGTCTTAAAATAATTGTTATCATTTTATACACACACATATATATATATATATAATGATAACATTAGTAATCAGTATGAATATTTCCAAAAGGATATAGATCCGGGGAGAGCTCTATGTCAGAGACAGAGCAATAATCATAAAGGAAATGAACACTACAAAGCCTTGAGGTGATATTTATTTCATTAAGGTTGGAAAATTTGAGCTCAACTCTTCAGACCTCATAATACACACACAGAGTGCACCAGATATTTGAGAAGAGATTTTATTTGACCATAAATGAAAGATAATTTAACACAGCATCTGCTAAATTTGAACATTCTTATTTCTTTTTCAAACATATCAAGAGCATTAACTTGACAGCTTTCAGTTTGTTTAATTTTAAGTTGCTTAATGTAAATTTTACCACCTAACTTTTTTATTGAAAAGTTGTTGACATTGTAATGTTAATATTGTTATCTCTGAATAAATAGGATATTGTAGCCCTTTGTTACTTCATCCATGTGACCTAAGGCTGATGTTATGACTTCATGACCTTGACCTTTTCTTCAATGCATTGGTACACTCCTTTCAATTTAAGTTCATTTACATTTATAATAAGTCTAATGACTTTGTACTTCTTTCTGTGTTACGAACCTAGCTGAAATACACTTTGTGGACATTTTATACTTTTTATATTTCATAGTACATCTCAGTTTATTTTTCTTGAGATTTTTAGTACTTTGCAGGACCAGTTAAGATTTACACTCTTTTTCCCTATAAGCCAGTGAATTCTTGACAAACTCAAGAAGCGTGCAGGAGGAGGAGGAGGAGAAATGCAGGCCCCTGGCCATTGTGGTCAGGTTGGTTGGATGGGTTATGTATTGAGTTACATTCCAATTTATTTTTGCCTGCCAACTGAGCTTTCCTATCTACCCTTACTTCCAGCACTCTTGGCCTTTACTACTTCTGACACACTCTTTGACAAATACCACAGACACTAATTCCAGCACTCTTGGCCTTTACTTTGACTCACACTTACACTTGAGACTTCTGACACACTTTGCTACCAATGACTTACTTCCAGCACTCTTGGCCTTTACTACTTCTGACACACTCTTGCTAACACATCACTCCCACTTCCAGCACTCTTGGCCTTTTACTGGCTTCTGAACACTCTTGCTACCACAGACACTTAAAAGTCCAACTCTTGGCCTTTACTACTTTCTGACACACTCTTGCTACCACAGACCCTTAAATCCAGCACTCTTGGCTTTACTACTTCTGACACCTCTTGCTACCACAGACCCTTATTCCAGCACTCTTGGCCTTTACTACTTCTTGATACATCTCTTGCTACCACAACCCTTTCCAACAAATTGGCCTTTACTCCTTCTGACACACTCTTGCTACCACAGACCCTCAACCCGCACCTAACTTCCAGCACTCTTGGCCTTTACTACTTCTGACACACTCTTGCTACCACAGACCCTTACTTCCAGCACTCTTGGCCTTTACTACTTCTGACACACTCTTGCTACCACAGACCCTTACTTCCAGCACTCTTGGCCTTTACTACTTCTGACACACTCTTGCTACCACAGACCCTTACTTCCAGCACTCTTGGCCTTTACTACTTCTGACACACTCTTGCTACCACAGACCCTTACTTCCAGCACTCTTGGCCTTTACTACTTCTGACACACTCTTGCTACCACAGACCCTTTAATCAATCCACAGACCCCATTTTTACTCTTGGCCTTTACTACTTCTGACACACTCTTGCTACCACAGACCCTTACTTCCAGCACTCTTGGCCTTTACTACTTCTGACACACTCTTGCTACCACAGACACTTACTTCTGGCATTCCTGCTCTTCTTTACTCCTGGATCTTATCTGACCTAACTCACTTGTTTGATTGATCTATGTTAAAGAACCTGTTCGCAACAGCCCTGAACTTCTGGTTACTCATTAGCCCCTACTTCTGGCATCACTATCTCAACCTCACTCATTTGGTTGATTGGCATTAATGGACCTGAACTTCCAAACTACACTACACTAGGTCCCTGCTTCCACCTTCTCGTTTAGGAAATCACAGTATGCATATCATCCAGACACAAACAACCTACTCTGTCCATTTATGTTAAAATACTATGGAAGGTTCACCATTAAACTTAACCAGCAACTACTCAATGCCAAAACCAGACATTTAAGCTGAATTTTCTTCTCCATGGCTCTATTATCCAAACTTCAAATAACCTACTCCATACACTTTAGTTAAAATACTATGGAAGGTTCACCACTAGACTTGACCAGCAACTTTTCAACACTTTCACTGGACATGTGAACTTAACTTTTTAACTATGGACTTACATGCTAATTTAACTTACAAGGACTCTGGTCTGTATTGTAAATAAATTTTTTATTAAATTTTAAGTTTGTCATTTGTTGTCCTCTTGTTGACCTGTCAGATCTCACGCCTATAATTTAAAATGTTAGTGGGCCTCTTGTGACCTCAATGTCTTATTGGGGTGCACTGGCCATGTTATATTGCGCTCCCCTCCAGGGGATCCACTATAAGGATTACATGTTAGAAGAATTTTCATTTTGTCAGTTATTTTTTCTAGCCAATAAGAAACTAAAAATTCCTGATAGCCAACAAGAAACTAGCAATCCAATCAGGAAGCAGGCCATCAAAAGTCCTCTTATCCAGTCTAATAAATAATAAAAAAAATTCAATTTTATTTTTTAGTTATTGATTGATTTCTTTCAAGATTGCACAGAATAGAATTAAACTGATTTATTCAGTTTTACATTTTTCACATTTGTTTTTTTTTAATTTCTATTTAAACAAATATTTCTATTCAACATTCATCTTTCAAGCATATTTGTAGCTGCTGATCATGTGATCAGCATTTAATTCTGTTTTGCTCATGAAAAGTTTTCTGACTGTATTCTTGCTTCAGTCTACTGTCATTTCACACAGCTTATTTGCTCTTGCTGTCTTTTGCACTCTTCAAAAACACACACATGCATGCGCACACTGAGAGTGAATGTTTTACCACACAGAAAGAAACACTTACTACACTTTATTCTGTTTATTTCTTTCTGTATATATCATTTACAAGTAACATATTTACACAGTAGAATACTATGAACAACTTATTAAATAAAATTCATTGTTATTATCATGACCAGTAATTTTTAGTCACAGTTTGGATACATTTTTGTAAATAATATTTTAATATTTATACCAAGAATTTATAAATTAATACATTGATGGGAACTAGTGCTTAGGAAAATTCCCAGTAAATTTCAAGTATGTAGGTTGCATAGTTAATTTACATAACCTATTTTCTTTTTTTAACTTGCTGTTAAAAAGAATTAGCATCATGTTATTTGCTTTCAATTATATCATTGGTGCATGAATTATTTAAATTGCATCAAACTAGAACATGTTGTTTTTCACTTTCATTTGCCAAAGATATGTCAGTTTCTGTGTTGCTCCATGAGAAGCTACATTTTGTTGACTATGTAGATTTTATTTAACTCTTTTACTTAAATTTCATGGTCATTCCATAATGATGTTAATTAACTATGAAAACGTTAAAAAAATATCCACTTTTCACATCATAAGGGGAAGTTTTTTCCAAAGCTGTTGGTTAAATCCACTTTCTGTAATTAATGATAATCAAATTTTGAGTGGGTAGATCTGCTTTCTGCAGCAAAAACTACTTAGAGACTTTATTTTTCAACATTCACTGAACAAACCTTTGCCTATACATTTGGGTTAAACAAATTTTAAACAAACATCAACAAAGTTTTTTAATGGTCATTGTTTATAATAACTTTGAATTTTGTCAATATTTCACTGTTATTTCATTGTCAATACAAGTAATTTTTTTTCAATCAAGTGAAATTCATTAGAATACAGATTTTATGTTTCATTATTGAATTGATATTAACCAACCAATATTAATGAAATATTCAGGATATACTTATATGATAAATATATTGGGTGGATTTTGATGCTGTGAGATTTTACTATGCAACTTATTGATTGATCATTATGTTGTAAATGAATCTATACAATAGTATAATTATTGATATTTCTTTTAATTTCAGATATATTAGGACTGCCATATGTCTTAAGAATGATATAATCTTAAAACAGAAATAAGATATGTAAAATTATTGAGTGATAGAAATGCAATATTGGAATTGCAAAAATATTGAACAAGATTCATAAACAATATGAAAAAAATTGGCAAAATGAGAAGAAAAACAAATTTCAAGAATGTTGTGAAAAGAAACAAAGAAATTTAAAATGATAGTAATTTCAATTTGCAGGTTTTGGAGATGTGACATTTACAATTTTTGATCAGCAGACACCTTTTTGAGTATCATATTCATAATGTTAAAAGGATGAACTTACTTCTGATGACAATGAAATTGAGAAATGGCAGTTAGTTCCATTTCCCACACTCTTGAATTGACACTTCTGTGGAGAACATCTTTTCAGTATTTTGAGTTCACTTTTGGCACTATCAGTTTTTGGCCTGATCATTGAATGTTTAATACAAAAACAATTTTAGCATTAAAAGAGCTATAAAGGGTTGATAAAATGTGTTGGGGCCACCCACCTTCTCATCAGAATGGACTGATCTCTCTACTACTAATAGGACAGTTTTAGAGAGTTCTGGGAGATCAGGTGACCATCACACTTCCGTCTCTCTACCGGAAGATACAGTTGGACTTTATACTCTTTCTGATTGTTACTTACTAACCTGCGTTTGTTTGACTACTAATCTCTCTGTTGTAAATACCTCTTCAGATATACCAGTATTTTTCCCTACATATGTGTTTGTCCTTATTTCAATACACGCATGGGGAAACACTCAACAAAATGTAAAACCAATCAATCTGTATTCTTTGATCAGATCTGTTAACAAATACTGGAAATTATATTAACATAGGATTACTCAGTTGCACTGTTTATTTCATTTTTGGGGGTTTATTTGTGTGTGTTTATTTCCTGTTAATTTTAAAATAACAATGCATTGGCTGCAAGCATCTATTTTCCTTATGCATAAAACTGTCACATCACATTGTACTGTTCCCTTTTATTTAAGTTCTATTTTATAGAAGAAATGTACATTTTATTTTCAGTTTAATTAGTTATTTGTTGGTATGTTTTATTTTCACTTCCCCCTGCTCCAATTATTTTTTCACAAGTTTAAAAAATAATTGGCTCACTTAATGTGGTGGTTCCTTTTTTCAAGATGGCTGACGAAAATAGTTGGTGTGTAAAAAAGGACCTTTTTGATGTGGCCTACAAGGAAGACCCTCTGGATAAAAGAAATCTAGTAAATGGGAGCAAACAACCACGAAATCCAGGAAACAATTATACTGTCTACAAATAATAGTAGCATAGAAATTGAAAGGAAGACCACTTTAGTAAGATTAGTGACAAGAATGTACCAAAAAATATAGAGGCACTGGTAAAGATGACAGTCAGGGAATCGCCCCAATGCTGGAAGTCACCAAGTTGCATTATAAACATTGGGGATTTTTTTGAAAGAGTTTCATACATTTTATAAAAGAAGATGGATTCTTTGAAGACGTCCAAGAATTGAAAAGAGAATGGAGTTGGTCTTCATGGTGGACAAGTGTAGGCGCAAAATTTGTCGCTCCACGAAAGACACAGTGATTCCATCACTCATGTGTCTGGGGAGTCAAATACCAAAGAGTTATTAAAGGTACCGGTATTTTCATGTGGAACGTACTGCTGCCCACAGATGAAGATTGCCTGGAAATGACCAAAAGAGAGCTAATTACAAAAGACATCATTCTACGGACCGAGTATGAAGGTCGGCTAAGGACTAGTGGGATAATATTCGAGGTCCCTTCTCATATGTCGGGAGAGCACCTATATACGATATGGCCAAATTTTAGGCGCGGGAGATTTTGACATCATGCTCGATCGGTTGGTCTTCGTCTCCTTTCCAAACTGTTTGAACTTTTGCAGCCGGAAAATGTCGGTCATTTTGACCAGCAGAAGACCTACTTGTTGGAGGTGTTGGGAGACTGGTCACCTTTCCTACTCCTGTGCAGTAAAGAAGGCGTCTAGGCTTCCGGCCGCTGGCGACCAGACCCCCCGCTCTGGCCGATATGGTTAGTTTCGCGGCGCCTGTAATGGGCCTACAAGCGACACGGACCGGTGCAGACAATCCCTCGGTTAGGTCCCGTCCCACATTCCCTCCAAAACCGACGCCTTCCGCAAGTGCGGACAAGGAGAAGGATAAAAGTGAATGGTGTGTCATTGATTGGTGGCGAGGGAGGAGCCGAACAGCTGTGCCTCAGTCCCATGATGACCGCAGGAACATTAACATCTACAGCCCAATTCCCTCTACCAGCTCTAAGGGCGATGCACCGGTGTCGCATGCAACCTGCATCCGAGATACAGAAGAAAAATGAGCCCAGCTGGGAGAAAATCGAAAGGTTGCGGAAACTGAAAGGAGGTCTAGATGCTAAGCGGGTTAATAAACCAAAGCCTCTGGTGGGCTTGGGCCCCTCATCCTCTGCTTCGTCTTCTCCTTCATCAAAAAAAAAAAAAAAAAAAAAAAAAAAACATTCGTTCATCCACCTCCCCACAAATCAACGACAAATGCACCATCAAAAACAAAAGCATCTGTACAAGACATTCCTTTGTCACGGCCATTTCTATATAAAAAATACCCCTGTCCACTCACCCAGAACTACCCCCATAACGACATCTAAACCTATTCATGATCACCACCCCACAAAAAAAAAAAAGAAACAGATGTCCCGAAGCCCCGGCTTTAACAGAGAAAAGGAAAAAAATAA